TTTTTAAAGGTTGGTGTTGTATTCCTTTTTGGAAGGTTGGGAACCAAATACACTCTTATCATTTCCCTCTTAAAAAATATTATTATATTACTAATTGAAGGATAGATTGGAAATTACGAATATGAATAAGGACGTTATCGACCGAAAAATGTTTCTCCATCATCGGCTCTTACCTAGCCCATATAGAATTAATTTAATCTCAAATCAAAGTTAATAATTAATTTTAATAACATATTTCAATGGATCCAAACTTTTCAACTGCACGTTTCAAAATTTACTAAAAATCTAATTTTAGTTCACATCAAATAGAGGCATTAGCATAGATAAAGGTTCACGCCATACTTGTCATTAACTCCATTGTAGTTTAATTACAATAATGTTACCAACCTTTGCTCATTTTGGCACTTATTTATCCAACATTTTTCATCACATTCTTACCATCTAACTTTCGGTTAATTTGCACGTCTTGTCTTTAATAATGATTTTCATTAAAAAATTCGTTAAGAAGGTGTGTGAAGATTTATTTGTCTCTCGTATTTTTAAATAATCAAAATACATAACAAATTCAAAAGTTTGACATAATATTATTCCCTCCGTTCAATGCATGTTAGCAGAATATTTGGAAAAAAAAATTGATCATTAAAAACAAAATATAATAATTAATTGAAGATTAAAGACATGTATGTAATTTTAACATTGAAATTTAGATAACCTGCACTAAGTCACAGTGATTGTAACTTACACTCTATATTTATAATGTGTAAGATCTGGTTGTTTATCTTTATTGAAATATATTTGATTTTTTCATAAACAAAACCACCTCTGTTCACCATTGTTCACTAACAGTAGCATCAGATCAACCTATACAGCGACCAGAAATCACATCCAACATATAATATACTGGTCACAATTGACAATTCCATCAATGAATAAAATATCATTCTTGGTGGCACAAAGTGGTAGGTTTATTGAAAAGTAGAATTAAGTGATTCATTTACTTATATCTCTCATTTAATGTCACATTAGTGTCATTTAAACTGATATTTTAACATCCTTCATCGTGCTTTTCAATAAATAAATAAAATAAAAGTTAGAATTTATTAAATGATAAAATAAAAAGGAAAAAAATCAGTTTATTTTAAAATTCAGTTTATTTTCCAGTGGCATTGTCAAAAATGTGACAATATGACTTGACAGATGATGGAAATGGATTGAGTACATTAGTTGTGGACTAAACACTGGATCGTACGATACATTTTGTTACACGACATTCTATGCTTTTCTTGTAATTCAACATTTAGCCTCCATTTGGCAACCATTTTTCTACAAAAAAAATGCATTCTTTATATCAAATCACACATTTTTTGTATCTCTTTCCAGCCATGGACCCCACTTGATGTAAAAGAAAAAATGTATTATTTGAAGAAAGATTGGCTCACAAACGAAACCTTAAAGCTTAATTAGTGGGGGTAAACAGACAAAAACTATAGTCGTCAGATAGTGCTGTCGACCATAAATTTCGGACCACGAGTGAAAAGATAGTGTTGGCAATGTTACATCCTAAAGAAACTTGTTGGTCCAAGACCATGTTTGTCTAATCTTTCTTGCTTAATTTTTTCGAAACTCAGATATATTACTTTTTCTTTCATTATTTTCAATGTCGACTTTTGTATTAATCACATCTCGAATGAATAATTTATTTGAAACTTGGTTATTTCGAGTACAAGAAAGTCAGAAGTAGGTAAAATAACTAAATGCCTCGAGGAAAGTGGAAATTGGAGAAGCTTGTTTCAGTTTGATCCGATTTAGGTGTTAACGAAGTTGTAGATCCTGATCAAATCTCTTCGATTTAGCTTTACTTTTAGTCATTCGACGATTAGGTGAGCTAGAACACAACATGTGTAACAAGCCATGCGCTCAATTATTGTGTCATGTACGTTCACCACCCCAAGCCGAAAGAGGCCATTAAACAAAAATGGTAAACTGCATCTTCAACGTGTATAAATGTTAAGAAATAAGAACTTGGAACAAGAGTGACAAATAAAACAGTGGGTATTATGTAATTCATTAAATTTGCTGAATCGAAGTAGTCTACTGAGGGTTGGGAGGGCGACTATTCGCTGCTGAGACCCTAGAACCCCATTCGAGTAGCTCTTTGCTGGTGTCGTCCTTGTGAACAATCACTTCAATGAAGCATAAGCAGTCTTTCTTGTCTCC